GGCCTTGCTTTCCTTACCTAAAAGACAGGATGGTAACAGGACATACCTCCTGGCATTGTTGTGAAGGCTCATCATTAAGGGCCTGGAATGATGTCTGGCACGTAGTGAGCCCTCGGTAAATGTGAGCTATTATTATGATGAGAGAGACTGCAGAATGATCTCTGCTTTTTGAGAGCCTGCCTGTACCCAGAAGCCTGCGAGGCACCTTGAGACTTGAGCTCAAAGCCTCACAGCAGTCCCGCAAGGAGGGGCGACGAAACCCGCGAGGAAGATGCGGGTTAAGTAACTCGTCCAGGGCTACGTGCTGGTGAGCAGCCGGGCTTGATTCAAAGCCAGATTGGCTGGCTTGACGCCAAAGCCCAGACTCTTCCCACCCGCTCGGGAGCTGGGCAGAGGTACCGCTGCTCAGAGCTGCGGAGGGTGAGATCGAGTCCCGCGCAGCCCTGGCGGCTGGCCAAGGACTGGATGCAGCCCCGAGGCCGAGCCCCACGTGACCGGCGTGCCGCCCACCCCCAGGTCTGCCTGGCTGTCTCTGCCTCTCATTCAGATCTCAGCTTAAATGCCACCTCCTCAGAGAATCTCCCCTCTGACACCCGCCCTGAGGCTCGTCCTCTCCCCTCCGACCCTTTCTGGTCCTGGACAGTCAGCCCGAATCCTGGGCCTGCCCCTTCCCAGCTGAGGGATCTGCTTGACATCCCCCAAGGCCTGTGCCTTCATTCTCAAGTGGGGGGATACACAGCCCAACCTCCTTCCTCCAGGGGTCCCTGAGAAGATCATGAATCCGGGGCAGAAAGGCGTGGTTCAAAGGTGCCACGATGGCTTCATAAGGCAGAAGGCAGCTCTGGCCCTGGGGAAGCCAGGGGATTGCGAGCAAGGCCCAGTCACTCGCCCCGAAGGAATCCTTTTTCCTTTTAAGGCAATGAGCTAGATATTTATAAACTGAATTTTAGGGTCTGATTAAAACCGACCACTGCACGCATCTGTCTGGAAATCAAGTCCCCCGCCCTGCTCCCCAGCCTTATGGTCCTTCTCTGCACCCCGCCTCGCTCCATGCTTCTCAGGGCCCTGCTGCAAATGTTCACTGAGCATTCGCTGCAGTGCGCCCCTGTGTAGGTGCCGGGAAAACCACGGCAAGGAAAAGCAGACCCAGTGGTGATGGTGGGGGAGACAGACAGGAGGAAATGATCGAAGACATAAAGCCAAAGCTCGACCCCAGGGACTTGAGGGCCATGGTGCTGGGGCATGTGATCGAGTCAGGAAGGTCAATGAAGATGGATTGAGGTCTGAAGGAAGGTGGGAGGGGAGAGGCATTCCAGGCAGAGGGAACAGCATGTGCAAAGACCCTGTAGCAGAAGAGTCTGATGCTGAGGGGGAACAGAAAGGAGAACTCTCCCTCCGACCTGCTTCCTGTACTTCTCTCTCCTGGGACACCTCCCTCCCTGCATGGTTCCATCTCTGCTTGTGAGGTGCCTCTCGATTCTTCAAAACCAAGCTCAGATGCCTCTTCTTCCTAGAAGCCTTCCACGGTGTGCCTTTCTCCTACTCCCCAGGAAGAAATGATCTCTCCTGCCTGTGATCTCTCTCACCTCCCTGACCCCTCCTCAGGCCCTCACTCATGCCATCTTGTATATAGACTCTGTCCATGTCTCATCTTCCCAATTGGGACAGAAATCTGCAAGGACAAGAACTATGTCTTCTCTAGTGTAGACCTGGAGTCACATGATCCTGGGTTTAAAGCCTAGTTGAGGCCATTTAGTAGTAGGACTTAACATAAAGGACTCTACTTCTCTGGACTTCTATTTCCTCATCTGGCAAAGGGGGACAATATGGTGAGGGCATGGTGTGGCTGCACAGTCCCCAGCTCTGGTCACCCATGGGGCTGGTCAAGGGCTTGGAACAGAGAGGAGGAGGAGGGGTGGTTATGATCCAGACAGCCTCAGGGATGGAGGGCTTACAGGGGCTTAGACTCCCTTAGACCTGTGTTTCCCAAATTTGTCTGATGGTAAGAAACACTTGAGCCATTTGATAAAAATGCAGATTCTCACTTACTCTTGGAGTTCTGATTCAGGAGGTCCGGAATGGAGTCCAGAACCTGTATTCTGAAAAGCTCTCATACAGTTCTGATGCGCAGTTTGGTGGGGAAAGTGAGGCCCAGAGGGAGGAGTGATGCTCACCAGTGTGAGAGGTTGGGTCAGTTACCTTGGTTCTTCTCTCTGTAACAGGAGTATGCACCCACACCCTTTGCCAAGTAACTCCGCAGGACTCACTTACTGTGGGCGACTGCGCCACAAGCACAGATGTGTGTTTGTGTGGTGTGGCTTGGCCCGGCCACTTGTGTTCCCATCATTTACCACAAGAGAAATAAGCCTGGGTGGCTGCTGGTCCAGCGAGAATGAGGAGACATACGCAATAGACTGAATTCAGCCCAGGTTCTGGAGTTTGGCCTGGCTCAGCCTGTGCAGATTAGCTAAATCCTAGCCGACCCACAGGCTAGGGAGTGAGAAAATAAACGTTTATTGTTGTAAACAGCTGAGTTTTGGGGTGGTTTTGTTATGCAGTGTTATGGCAGCAATAACTGGCCAATACACTAAGATCACCCAGCCAATGAATGGCAAAGCTGGGAATCAGACTCAGGTCCCCTGTTCCTAAGCCAGTGCTTGTTTCTCACTGCTTCTGTCCCTCAATCCTGAGGGCTCCCTGGGCACCATCTTCTCTCAAAGCCCCTCACTTCTACTCTGCCCCATCTCCATTCTCTGGGAGCCTCCAGCTCCAGATAAGAGGGTTCCATTCCAGTAGCCCAGCCTTCATCCTTGCTGCTAATATGCTGAGGCTTCTTGAGTAGGCAGTTCTACCCTCAGGGCTCCCAAATGGATACAGGGAAGGCCCCCACCACCAGGGAAAGAAATCCAGGGGCTCTGGGGAATTCTAGCTTCTTTCAGTTGAAATAGTTCCCTTCCCTCCATTCCCACTGGGAGCCTGGCTTCTCTACCTCGGGGCTTTGTCAAGCTGGAGACACTCACAGCTGAGGCTTCACAATCTGTTAGCTGTCTCTGCCAAGAGTGGCTGGCTTTTGAGGTTCTCTAAGATTGCCCACCTTGAGTCAGCTCCATCCGGACCCCAATCTGAGTGGGACTTAAATGCACCCATGGCCCTTCAAGAACTGCAGGCACATGCTCAAAAACATGCCCTCTCAGCCACAGCAATACCACAAACATTCACAAACAAAACCACACCACTCCTCTCAGACACCAATACACAGACAGGCAGACCACATTCAGACATATAAGCTCATGTTCAAACACACCGCCTCCACGTCCCTCAGATTTAGACACACCCATGCACAGGAACGGATGTATCAGTAAGAAGTTGCACGCCAAGGTCACATGCAATCGTAAATACACAGTCACCCAAACAATAAGGCAGACCCACACCTTCTCCCAGTACATTCCCTCGCACGCACAGTCAGACCCACAGTCACACTCACGGTCCCGTGGACATACCCTGGATTTAGCCCAAACACTGAAGTCTGTTAGACCTAGTTAATGCCTGTCTCTTATCCTTCCTGCTTTGTGACTCCCCTTTTCTGAGCATCATCTGTAAAATGGGGACACAGATGCCTCCTACTCAAGGAGACCAGGGGGACGCAATGAGGTCAAGCATGGAAAGCACCCCTCAACCAGGTGGAGTTGGTTGCCCTTTCTCCTTCCATGCCCTGTGCTTGCCCTCCCTGCCTCTTCAATTCTATTTCTTTCTATAGCTCCTTTCAAATTTCTACTGGGCCTTTAAGTTGCAGGTCAAATCCTGCCTCCTACAGCAAGCCTTCCCGGACCTCCACTTCCGGATCCACTGCGCACTTACTGTGTGGGTGCCACTTGACATCAGAATGATAAGCTGGGTAGCCCACTCGCTTTCTTTCCTGGAGCCTGGCTTCCCTTCCTTGGACAGGGCCCAGATCACACTCATAGCAGGGGCTTGGCAAGGACTGTTGAGTGAATAACTGAGGGGCACATTCACAGTGCCAACCACAAAGTTTTCACAGGTACCATAAGGTCCTTGACAAGCTCATGTGGCCCTTGGTTGGGGGATCAGGCTGCAAGTGTCTCCTGAACCTGGCCATATGGAGGTCTCAGATGACCCTGAGGACAATGGTCTTGGAGGAGAGAAGGGGCCAGACACCTAAGTGGAATGGACTGAAGTGGGGGTGAGACTACATTGTTTGGCAACTTTTTTTGCTGTGAAGGAAGGCAGGGTGGAAGATGGAGAGCAACATGGGGTCACAGAAAGGATTATTAGAGGGCATAGGGGGAAGAGGGCATAGGTGGAGTTAGACTGGAGTGGGCTCGAAGTTCAAAGAAAGCACCTGTGGGGGCTGCGAGGTGTCCACTGGCGTCTGTCTCCCCACCTTCCACTGTGATAGACTGAAGTCAGGCTGGGAGATACGCCTCCCAGCCTCCCCTGTGGATCGGTGACGACACATGACCAAGTTCCTTCCAGTGGAAGGTGCACAGGAGTGATGGGTGCCACCTCTGCCCTCCTTGCTAAAAACATTGTCACTGCGCAGGGCCTCCTCTCTCCCGCCCTTCCTGCAGGCTAGAGCACAGACATGCCTGCCACTCAGCTCTGACCATGGGGGGTGCTGAGACAGCAAGACGGATGGAGGTGGGGTCCCTGAGCCTCCAGGCGGATCAGGGCTACCCCGCTAACCTGGGCTGCTCCCCCCTGGTCCTACACGAGAGAGAAATGCCTTCCTGTGTTCTTTAAGCCACCAACACTGGGCTGTTTTGTTACAGCAGCTTCACTTTCACGTTCAGGGATACACGTTCAACAAGCGACAGCAGTTGTTACAAACACCACTACGATGGCAGCACTCCCCCGGGTGGCTGGGTCACACGCACGGCCTTTGCAAAGCGGAAACCACAGGTGTGAGGGCGTCTTTAACGGGGGCTGGCAGGGTGCCCGCTTGGCACAGTGTGGCGCGGGGCTGCCCCTGAAGCGCTTACCTGCTTGGTTGGTGGTGATGTTCACGGAGGCGAACTGAGGCGAGAAGGGGCTCTGGTCGGTGACGCCGTTCACGGCCTGGATCTCGAAGGTGTACTGGGTGTGGGCCAGCAGGTCACTGATGTAAATGCGGGGCTCGGTCAGGCCCAGCTGGCGGGGCGCATACTGCACATTGTCCCCACAGCGGGTGCAGGCGCCCCGGCCTGAGCCACAGCTCTTACAGATGATGTTATAGACGAGATCCTCGCGGCCCCCCGAGTCGCGGGGCGGGGTCCACTCCAGCATGAGGGAGGTCTCGTTCACGCTGGAGATCACAGCCTGGGGTGC